TTTTGAAGATCTAGTATTTCTGTTGCATAACTGAATAGTTTTCTTTTCAGAACAATTTCAAATTCTGTGATCCTCGGCCTGAAGCTGGAGAGTTACCCAGCTTCAGTACAGATCTATTGTATTTTTTAAAAATTTCACTGTCAAGCTGTGCTGGATGTCGGCATATATTTTTTGAATGGTTAACTTAATCCATAGTGGGCTTAACAGTTTTACCCTTTGAAAATATTTTTCTTTCTGTGTTTCTCCACTATAACTCATGTACACATTCATCAGTACTTTTTTTATATTATGGTTTTCCTTTACATCCTTTTCTTTCCAGAGCCTTGTCTACAGGGCCTGAACTTGGAAGATGCCCATCAGTTAATTGTTACTGATCTTTAAAAAAAAATCATGTAATTTCTAGTTAGGTAAGCAGTTTTATTTAAAAAGAATCATGATATAGCAGCATTTTCTAATAATAACATCCAAAAAAATAATTGGCCTTCCAGACTAAACAGACTTGGAAGAAGGAAGGAGCCATCCACTTTTCAAAGAATCAGCCAGTGAAATCTTTATGACTAGCAGTGAAACACTGATACATTACCAGAAGTTGAGCCTCTGAGGTTGGAAGGCAGTCAGAATATGCCTGGGGAATAGCTGCCTCCTCAAAGTAGAGCTGACCTTAATGACGTGGATGGAGTACAGCTTTTGGGACCTCCGTTTGCTGATGGGGCACAACTCGAAATGGGAAAAAAATAGCTGTAAACATTCATCAATAATCAGAACGTGGAATGCATGAAGTATGCATATTGGAAAATTAGAAGTTGTGAAAAATGAAATGGAGTACATGAAGATTGATATCCTAGGCATTAGTGAGCTGAAATGAACTGGTTTTGACCATTTTGAATCAGACAGTCACATGATCTACTATGCCAGGAATGATGAATTGAAGAGGACTGGTGTGGCATTCATTGTCATAAAAAATGTTTTAAGAGCTATCCTGCTGTACAGTGCTGTCAGTGATAGGATAATATCCATACACATACAAGGAAGATCAGTTAATACTACTATTATTCAAATTTATGAACCAGCCACTAAAGCTACAGATGAAGAAATTGAAGATTTTTTTTTTTTTAATCAACTTCTGCAGTCTGAAATTGACCAAACAAAAGTTGAAAACGAAGAAGAATTACTGATAGTTGGAAAATACTGTCTTGGTGATAGAAATGACAGTGGAAATCTCATGATAGAATTCTGCCAGACCAACAACATATTGATTGCAGGTACATTTTTCAACAACATAAATGGCTATACATGTGGGCCTCACCAAATGGAGTTCACAGCAATCAAATTGACTACTTATTTGGCAAGAGATAATGGAGAAGCTCAATATCTTTAGCCAAAACCCGACCAAGAGCTGACTGTGGAACAGAACATCAATTGCTCATATTCAAGTTCATGTTGAAACTGAATACAGTTTAAAAAAGTCCCAGAGAACCAAAACATGACCTTGATCATATCCCACCTGAATTTAGAGACCATCTGAAGAATAGATTTGGTGCATTGGACATCAGTGACTGAAAACCAGTGGAATTGTCGTATGACATCAAGAACATCATCCATGAAGAAAGCAAAAGGTCTTTAAAAAGACAGGAAAGGAAGAAAAGACCAAAAATGAATGTCAGAAAGGATTTGACACTTGCTTTTGAACAGAGATTAGATAAAACAAATGGAAGAAATGGTGAGATAACAGAGCTGAACAAATGATTTCAAAGAGCAGCTCGAGAAGATGGAAGTCAATTATTATAATGAAATGTGCAGAGCCCTGGAGTTAGAAAACCAAAAGGAGAGAACACATTTGGCATTTTTCAAGCTGAAAGAGCTGAAGAAAAAAATATAACCTCGAATTGCATATTGAAAGATTCTATGGGCAAAATACTGAATGATACAGGAAACATCAAAGAAAATGGGAAGAATACACAGTCACTGCACCAAAAAGAATTGGTCAGTGTTCATCCGTTTCAGGAGGTAACATGTGATCAAGAACCAGTGGTATCGAAGGAAAAAGTTGAAGTTACGGTGAACCAATTGGGGAAAAACAAGGCTTCAGGAATTGATGGAATGCCCGTTTAGATGTTTGCCAAAGGGCCAGGGAGGCTGCATCTTCTGACCTCCTTTAACTACACAAGAGGAAGACAGAATCACCATCAGTAGCCCAAGGCCTATTCCTTCGAGGCCAGGCATGCTGCCTCCCTCCAGCTCTTTCATCAACCCTAACACCAACCGTTCTCCTGCAGCAACCACAACCTCTCTGCTGGGTTCAGTAGTTCGCTGCAGTGGCCACACAGAATTCACAGATTATGGGGTTTATTAGGGAAGCAACAGGCTACAATTCAAGCTCAGGAACACATTCAGTCTCTCTCAGTCCGCCATCTCTTAGCCCACAGTCAGTCTCAGTCTCTGTCCCAGCAGTGTGTGTCTCTCATTGTTTCTCTCCCAGCAGTGCGTTTCTCTCGGTGTGTCTCTCCCAGTGGGGTGTGTCTCTTGGTGTCTCTCTCCTAGCAGCATGTTGTCTCTCAGGACCATGTTTCTCTCAGTAGCAAGTCTTTCTCAGCTAACAGTCAGACTCCTTCTAGCTCTAGGAGGGCTCCTTTTGAGGCTGAACCAACCAATCCCAGCATCAGAATTCTATACACCTGAGAGAGAGCGAACTTCGCAGAAAATTACTTTGTGCTGGTCCCAACAGAGATACTGCAGGTGGATGACTTCAACAATCAGGAGCTACTCAGTTTCTCACAGCAAATTCCACCATGGAGTTTACAAAGACTTATAGCTAGTAAAGCCATACCAGGTAATTTACTACACTACTATGCTTCAACAAATGGGTGCTGTGCTGAAGGCACTCACTCATCTGTGCCAAGAAATTTAGAAGATAGTTACCTGGCCAACTGACTGGAAAGGATCCATATTTCTACCCATTCCAAAGACAGGTGATCCAAAAGCTTGTGGAAATTATTGAACAAAATCATTAATATCACACGCAAGTAAAATCTTGAAGATAATTGAAAAATAGTTGCAGCATTATATTGACAGAGAACTCTCAGAAATGTAAGCTGTATTTAGAAGAAGATGTGGAACAAGGGATATCATTGCTAATGTCAGATGGATCTTTACTGAAAGCAAAGAATACCAGAAAGATGCTTACTTGTGTTTTATTGACTATGCAAAAACGTTCAACTGTTTGGATCATGATACATTATGGATAACATTGAGAAGAATGGGAATTCTAGAACACTTAATTGTGCTCATGTAGAACCTTTACATGGACCAAGAGGCTGTCATTCCAACAGAACAAAGGCCTACTGCTTGGATTAAAATCAGGAAGGGTGTGTGTCAGTGCTATAGTCTTTCACCATACTTACTTATTCAGCAATCTATGGCTTGCAGATGATTCTGAGTTTAATAAGCAAGTCTTAAGCTATAGTGTAGCTCTGGTGGCATAGTGCCTGAGGCATTTGACTGCTAACCAGAAGGCTGGCAGTTCAAACCCACCAGCCACTCCTTGGAAGGAAGGTTGGGCAGTCTACTTTTGTAGTGATACTGCATCAGAAACCCAAGGGCTATTAGTCTGATCCGACCCGATGGAAGTGAGTTTGGTTTTATTTGGGTTACTCATTTTATATCTTTAACAAATAATCCGAGAAGCTAGACTATATGAAGAACAACATGGCATGAGGATTGGAGGAAGACTTATTAACAGCCTCAGGTATGCAAACTATACAGCTTTGATTGCTGAAAGTGAAGATAACTTGAAGCACTTACTGATGAAGATGAAAGACTACACTCTGCAATGTGTAGTAGACCTCAGCATAAAATGAAAATCCTTACAACTGGACCAATAAGCAGCATCAAAATAAATGGAGAGAAAAGATAAAAGTTGTCAAAGATTTCATATTACTTGCATCCATAATCAACACCCATGGAACCAGCAGTCAGGAAATCAGACAATGTATTGCACTGGGCAAATCTGCTGCAAAAGACCTCTGTAAAGTGCTGAAGAGCAAAGATGTCTCTCTGAAGACTAAAGCACGTGCACCTGACCCAAGCGATGATATTTTCAGTAGTGTCATATGCATGTGAAAGCTGGAGAGTGAGTAAGGAAGACCAAATAAGAGTTGATACTTTTGAGTTGTGGTATTGGTGAAGACTACTGAAAATACCATGGACTGTCAGAAGAATGAACAAATGTCCCCTGGAAGAAGTGCAGCCAGAACACTCCTTGGAAACAAGAATGGCCAGATTTTGTCTCACCCACTTTGGTCATGTTGTCAGTAGAGACCATTCCCTGGAGAAGGATATCATGCTTGGTAAAGTCAAGGGTCAACAAAAAAGGAAAAGGCCCTCAAAGAGATGGATTGACACAGTGGCTGCAACAATGGCCTCAGGTATAGCAAGGATTGTGAGGCTGGCACAGTACCAGGCAGTGTTTTGTTCTGTTGTACATAGGGTCGCTGTGAGTCAGAGCTGACTCAATGACATCTAACAACAGCAACATATATGTGTATATATATGTGTTTGTGTATGTGTGTACATATACATATCTATATATAGATAGATAACTATTGTGATTTGAGTGACAGTTTACAGAGAGAGTAATAGGTTTTCCATTTAGTAATTCATACAGTTTTGTTTCATAACATTGATTGCATTCCCACAATGTAACAACACTTCCCACTTCCTCCCTGTGGTTCAGTATATTATTTTATATTTCATAAATTTTGGTTAATTAAATAAGCATAGTAGTTGTTCAGAATTGTTTTAAAACCCTTAACCAAAGAGGCTTGTGTTTGTAATGAATGTCTGACTTATCTTTAAAAGGATATATGCTTAATACATTGCATCTAGTAAATATTAAATATTTGCTGTCTGGGACTTTATAGTGCTCTGTCAGGGTTTCTCTAAGTACACGGCTTTCTTTACTAATACAATTCTGTTGCTTCCCCTGTTCTGTTGTGTGATAGATACGACCATATGTAGGATGTTTGGTACAGTATTTGCCTCTTCTCTGGAAGCAGAGTGAAGAACACAATATGTTGAGATGTGCTATTCTGACAACACTAATTCATCTTGTTCAAGTAAGTCACTTCACAGAGTTTCTTAGTTTTTTGTTTTTTTCTAAAAAAAAAAAAAAAATTTCAGTGACTTATGTTAATAATAATAAAAGGACTCACTTTTAACTATTACAGTTTTTCATGTGCTATTGAAACACTTTGAAAAGTAACCATCTTTTGTTTATTTTGAACCTATTTTTGAGGACTTCTGAAGGGTATTTTCTGCTTCTTCAACTGTATTTTTTGTTAGATATCTCCAGTGATGATACACTGTCCTGATTTGTGTAGTTCATTGTACTTTATGTGCAGTTTCCCTGATAATAAGAACTTCTGCGTAAAGTTACTCTTTATGCCCACTTTCCCACCCCATGATTTAAAATTAAAAACTTTCCCTTTTATAAATCAAGATTTGAGGAAAATAGATAAGTTGCTTCCCAAAGGAGAAAGGTAAATTTGGTTTCACATATTTTGACTTTGAAGTGTTGGTGAATTTGGTTTCACATATTTTGACTTTGAAGTGGTGAGGAACCTGAAATTTTAAATAGAGAAATGGACTGTCTTCTTATTTGAACTGTTAAAGTGAAGTATAGTCTGGTGGAGAAAGTAGAGTGAGGAAAGTGGTTAAGATCAGGTGAAGCGCAAGCAATTTTTACTGAGTGTACCCTTAGTTTGGGAGATTTTTCAGTGAAGCATGGGATGTGGTGTGACTGCTTCTAGATTAATAATTCCTACTCTAAAATATCCTGATAAACCTTTTTTAAAAATAGAAACCTTTCTGTGTCATCTCGACACTTTCTTGAATGTGACCTCATTCTTTCAGTAAATAATAGTTGACTTTTACACTTGGTTTCAAATTCCTAGCCATGGCAGTTTTAGATGATTGTTGTTGTTATGTGCCGTCGAGTCGGACCCGACTCATAGCGACCCCTCCTTGGGTTTCTGAGGCAGTATCACTACGGAAGTAGATTGCCCAACTTTCCTTCCGAGGAATGGCTGCTGGGCTTGAACCGCCAGCCTTCTGGTTAGCAGTCAAGTGCCTTAGGCACTATGCTAGCAGAGCTCCCAGATGATTAATAGTGATGCAAAGTATTTTCAAAGCACTTTCCTTTTAATAAGTATCTGAGCTAGCATCTCTTCCTTTCTCCTAATTCTTGAATCCTATAAAGTAAAAATTATATCCCTTTTATATTAAGGGATCAAAGACTAAAAGAAGATAAGTGGCTAGCCTTACTTTGCATTTGTAAATAACAGAACAAAGACTAATCTCTAGATCTTTTATATTTTTTCTTTGCCAAAATGAATTTTTAAAATCAACTCAGGAGTTTTATGAGGGAAATGTGAACTCTATCCCCTAACCCCTCTTCTATGTCTTCTTAGTCAGTGTTACCTCAAGAAATGTTATAAATGTTAGGAAACTAGAGAAACCATATGTAATGTTTGGAGTCTATAGGGCCTTTTCTTTAATAATGACACTTGAGTGTATGCCAGGGATGTAAGCTTCCAATCAAGTAATCATCCTTCTTGAAAGAGACACATAATGTTTAATATTAAAATGGAGATTGTTGTTTAAAGTTTGTTTTTCTGTCATTTGAGAAGATCATACTGAGTTTTGTTGGTAGGTTTTTGTCTCATGGAAAATACTGTCACCTTTTGGCTAATAAT